ACTGAATAAGAGTCTTTATGGGTTGAAGCAGACACCAAGGCAGTGGTACAAGAAGTTTGACTCATTCATGAAAAGTCAAACTTACACAAAGACATATTCTGATCCATGTGTATACTTCAAAAGATCTTCTGAAAATAACTTTATTATATTGTTGTTGTATGTGGATGACATGTTAATTGTAGGAAAAGACAAGGAGCTGATCGCAAAGTTGAAGGGAGATTTGTCCAAGTCATTTGATATGAAGGACTTGGATCCAGCACAATAAATTCTGGGTATGAAGATAGTTCGAGAGAGAACAAGCAAAAAGTTGTGGCTGTCTCAGGATAAGTACATTGAACGTATACTAGAATGCTTCAACATGAAGAATGCTAAGCTAGTCAGCACACCTCTTTTTGTCATCTAAAGTTGAGCAAGAAGATGTGTCCTACAAGTGTGGAGGAGAAAGGGAACATGGATAGAGTTCCTTATTCTTCAGCAGTCGGAAGCTTGATGTATGCAATGGTATGCAACAGACCTGATATTGCTCATGCAGTTGGTGTTGTTAGCAGATTCCTTGAAAATCCTTGAAAGGAATATTGGGAAGCAGTTAAGTGGATACTCAGGTACCTGAGAGGTACCACGGGAGATTATTTGTGCTTTGGAGGATCTGATCCAATCTTTGAAGGGCTATACAGATGCTGATATGGCAGGTGACATTGATAATAGAAAATTCACTACTGGATATTTGTTTACATTTTCAGGGGGAGCTATATCATGGCAGTCAAGGTTGCAGAAGTGTGTCGCACTCTCTATAACTGAAGCAGAGTATATTGCCACTTCTGAAGCTGCCAAGGAAATGATATGGTTGAAACGGTTCCTTCAAGAGCTTGGCTTGCATCAGAAGAAGTATGTCGTCTATTGTGACAGTCAAAGTACAATAGACCTTAGCAAGAACTCCATGTACCATGCAAGGACTAAACACATCGACTTGAGATATCACTGGATTCGAGAAATGGTAAAGAATGAATCTCTAAAAGTCTTAAAAATTTCTACAAGTGAGAATCCCGCAGATATGCTGACCAAGGTGGTATCAAGAGACAAGTTCGAATTGTGCAAAGAACTTGTCGGCATGAACTCTATATGAAAAACTGGAGTTACCTCCTTCAAGTGCATGGGACTGGAGGGGGAGATTTGATGGGTCCATCCCATGTGTAAGGAAGACATCTTCCTTTTGGCTTTGAATTGTCAAGCCAACTGAAGGAATAGTAAGGAAGATTTTATGGGAAATATTTCTTTGGTTTCACATTGAATATTTGACTCTTGCCAAACTCATGATATCATTGATGACATCAATGAAGCAATCCTAAACACTATAAATAGGTGTCTTGCTCTCATTGTCATACACACCAACAAAGAGAGAAAGAAAGAGTGAGGTATCACAGACAAGGTATAAGAAAATAGTCTGTGAGAAAAGTAGAGACTGAGCGATATTGTAGTGAGGTGAGAATATCAAAAGTGGGTTATTTCTTTTGAGTGTTGTAGTGGTCTTTGGAGTATTTTACTCGGACCTACAAAGTGTAAAATTTTTTGTTATAGTGATATCAGTTGCTCCTCTCAAGGCCGTGGTTTTTCCCTTATTCAAAAGGGTTTTCCACGTAAAAATCTTGGTGTCGTTGTCACTCTTTTATTCTTGTTAATTACCGTATCTCGTTGCTACGTTATTATTCCGCTTTTATTATTGTGAATATTATTTTTGTAGGGGGTTTATTCCCAACAAAATAATCTTTTCTTTTCCTATTTTAGATAAGACTTATCAATTTAGCAGAATAATCTATCCGTACCCGTGGATCCAAACCCAAGCCCCGGGGCCTAAAAAAGGGAAACTAAAACATCAAACTAGATGCTACAATATTAAAATAGAAAGCTACTTAATTAAGTTTTAATAGAAAATTTTCAATAAGTTCAAGCACCGCTCTGTGGTTCTCACTCATACACATTGTTCTATGATTGTGTTTTTCTCACTATTTTTCAATTCTATTTTCTATTACTAATAATTAGTTCCAAATTTGGCTAATATGCTAATGGTTCTCATTCTATCAAAGACAAAGTAATTGACTGAACATTTTGACTATTACTACCAAGAGACTAATGGGTACGGACTGTCGAAGGATTCTGACTATTGCTAACAGTCCAAGCTGCTTCTTAACAAACGAATGAATTCCTGTGGTTGAGAGTCCTATTGAGCTTTTACATGGTGAAAATACCTACACCTCATCCTATTGGGGATCCCTCAATTTCTCCCCGAACTCCAAATTTTGCTAAAGAGAAGATACCAAGTGCAGAGAGATCCATCAGAATGACTCGCTTAAATTGTAACCAGAGGCGGATCTAGAATTTGAAGGTCGCGGGTGTATTTTATAATTCCACCAAAATATGCTTTTTATATAGGGTGCAAGGGGCGACTCAACGAATCTCGTGTCCTAAGGCGAAACTATATTGAGAGGCCCTTAAATGCATTCTATAAAATATTTACACCAACAACAAAATTTATTTTTTTAAATAACAAATTAATCATTTAAGAAAAAAAGTAAAAAAAAGGGCAGCCCGGTGTACTAAGCTCCCGCTATGCGTGAGGTTCGGGGAAGGGCCGGACCACAAGGTCTATAGTACGCATTTAAGAAAAAGTAAATTTCAAAAAAAAAAATTAGGAAGAAGACACAAAAATAAATTGGTGGACTATCGGTGTTGTGGTCCAGAACTCAAAGTGAAAGTTTTGATTTGGCTATCATCACAAACACGAAAAAGAAATAAACGTACATAACGTAATAACTTAAGTTTTGAACATTGACAATGTCAAAAATATTTACTCCTTCTGATCAATTTAAACGATATTGTAATTCATTCTATTAAGTAATAATTATTGGTGATTATCTAAAACAAATTGTAAATTACCTAATATAATATATCGAATTACACTAAAAGATGTTCATGCAGTTTCAGAGAACATTGTAAAAAAAATTCATTATATTGTCGATATATATAACTTAATTCCTATATAAAAAGGATAAAATTAAAATTGAAGAGTGAAGCAAATATACTAATTAATGAGGGGAGAAAATTATCAAAATTTGTAAATTTATTGTATTAAATAAACCTCAATCAAGTAACAAAAAATTATACTATAACACTTATTTATACTAATTATTTATATATATTATATAGTATATAGTAATATAATAATATGAATTCAAAATAAATTTGGGGCCTTCAAATTTTAGGGGCCTAAGACAACGGCCTCACTACCCAAAGCCTTAGAGCCGCCCCTAATAGGGTGCCCACTATTAATATATCACTATTATCTAAAGACATAGTACATGAAATTTTTGCCACCGAACTTTACGGGTGCTGGTGACCCCTCTACCTTTGGTTGCAACTATTCGCTCTATCTCTGATTGACTTTGAAAGGTGTTCAATACCGCCGGTTTGTTAGGGATTGTCCCATAACAAACTCTAAGGGATCATTTGGTACATGGCATAAGGATAATAATTTCGGGATAAAATTTGTTCTAATTCACTTTATCGAGTTTTTGACCTTTTTCATCCCTGTTGTTTCACCTCACCTTTCACTACATCCTTATAATATCCCACTTAACTGAAAACATCCCTTGAGTTTTTCAAACTTAACCAAGAACAACCTTCCGTTATCTTTTCCATCACTTTCTAACAGAGCTTTCTTTTTCTCATGTGCATTGCTTCTTCTTCATTTTTTCCCGATAATTTCCAGCAAGCTGACAAGCTCTTTAAAAAATAGAAATAATTGACTAGTTAGNCTGTTGTTTCACCTCACCTTTCACTACATCCTTATAATATCCCACTTAACTGAAAACATCCCTTAAGTTTTCCAAACTTAACCAAGAACAACCTTCCGTTATCTTTTCTATCTCTTTCTAACGGAGCTTTCTTTTTCTCACGTGCACTTCATGTTTTCCACCGTAGAAAGCTTTTTTGAAATTATGTATCTGAAGCATTCTTGCATCACAAATGCATCACATATTTAATTTGTCAAAAGTTTGGGCTGGTTATAGAGAACGACTCTTATTTTCATCTGCAGATTGCCAAATTAATCGTTCGTGAAATGCTTTATATTTTACAGTCACCCAAAACTAATTTACTCCACTAAGAGATTTATATTCTTATTGAAGAAACTAACCCATTAATAAAACAACAGAAAAGATATTAACTTAAATTATTGAAACTAGAGATCAAATCTTACTTATTATCTTTCTCGCCGGTTCTTGATGCTCTCCTTCATTCACTCCCTGTGATTCTTCTTACCTCCCCCTCCTCCCAAAAAAGAAAAAAAAACTTACTCTCTCTCACATGGGCTAACCTATATGAGGAATCTAGTGATGTGGGTTGAATCTGTGAGGTTTTGAACATAAAAAGGAGGAGAAATTTTTGGAGAAGGTGTGTTGTTGGTTTGATGTCGGACGACTAACTAGTCAATTATTTCTATTTTTTAAAGAGCTTGCCGGAAATTATCGGGAAAAAAAATGAAGAAGAAGCAATGCACATGAGAAAAAGAAAGCTCCGTTAGAAAGTGATGGAAAAGTTAACGGAAGGATGTTCTCGGTTAAGTTTGAAAAACTTAAGGGATGTTTTCAGTTAAGTATGATATTATAAGGATGTAGTGAAAGTTGAGGTGAAACAATAGGGATGAAAATGGTCAAAAACTCTCACTTTATCGGTCAACTGATTTTAGGAGCTGTAGGCTTGGCGTTCCGACTGGTCCACTGGACTTTGATTTCTGCATAAGCAAAAGCTCAACTAATTATCATGTGCAACAAAACTTAATCACTCGACCCATTTTGAAGCCGACATGCTGGCTTTAACATTATCATAAGTGAAGTTTAGAATAAACAAACCAACTCAAAAACTAACCTTTTTTTCCTTTTAAACAATATATAGAAATGTGCAGGTTGGGAATTGGAGTTACACACGTCTAGTGCATGACTTGGGGATTCGGAACGCAAACTTTAGATTTGAGCCATCATAGTGTTTGGACATAAATAAAGCAAGATAAATTTCAGAAGGAAAAACAGAATACATTAAAGAAACTATCAACTAGGTAATGATACAGCAGATAAGTGCTACAAGTTTGAAGTGTTTGCTGGAGACAAATTCTATTTATAAGAAGAGGCAGGTGTAGCATGTGCACTGTGCAAGAAAGGCCTCTGATGTCAAATCTTAGTCCAGGATTTTCCACATACAAGGAAATAATATCTCTAATCCAGATTCAGCCAAATGCAAATGAGTTTACCAAATGCAATTTCCCTTGCCTACCATGACACTGAAACACATATAAGAGAAGTCTTTTACAGCCTACGATTTCGACAAGGTCCATGCCGTTTGTTTCAACCATGAATCTGAAACACAGGAAATAGTAAAAGGTTAGTTTTTGCACACATATCCTTCTTGGAGAATGGAGAAGCAGGTCATAAGTAGCCACTGGAAAAAGAGATGCTTTAGGATAAAGCAGACCTATTAAGACGAACAGAGATTGCTAAAGACATTTTAAGAGCCAATGAGGCACTCTTTGCTAGTATAAGATTCATCATATAGCAGTCTTTTGCAACTTTCTTTGTTGAAATCCTTCAATCGCGACTTAGGATCGTTCCTTGAGAGTTTTCAATTTAAAAAGAACAGTACAAAAGAGATGGAGGAAAATAGGATGCTGTTTTTTTTTTCCTTTAAGCCATCACCCAGGGAAAGGTTCGTGTGGTGTTGGGGGGTTTGGCTTGACCCGTACCATGTATATAGAAGGTAAAGATGACAAAAGAAGGGGGGCATAGACCTGAACTTCGTATACACAAGACCGTTGCAAAGACAGTCTTCAAAAAACCCATGGAAGATAGAGAAATATACAACTACTCTTCCATGAGAAAAACTAAATGAATTAGCTTACAAAAAAGTTAGCTTTATCATACCTACTTCGTATACTAGGCAATTTCCATTTATCTAGTAGGAAAGGACCTCTAGCTTCTTTAGGGAGATTCTAAAAATAGTAGAAATAGGAACTGCTGCCAGTGATTGCAGCTCTTTCGGCTAAAGCGTCAGCCACCTGATTGGCTTCTCTATAGCAATGAGAGACCACAACTTCTGCATGGTTGATACTTCTTTTGGCATCTCTGATGATCTGCTTCATCTTTGCATTGTTGGTACATCCTTCTGTAATCATGTTGGCAACAATCAGAGAATCAAGCTCTAGATGAAATCTGGTGTAGCCTAGCTGTATACACCGTTCTCCACCAAGTTTAACTGCTACAGCTTCTGCCTCATTGTTGCTTTTACATTGAACAGGTATTGAGAATAGCCATGAGGAGATCTCAATTAGAGTCTCTTATCACCCCTCCTATATCTGCTCTCCCGGTATCCTATTTACATTGAAAAGGTAAATAGGAAAAACAGCATTTAGGGGGGAAAAGAAAATCAATTGCAGAGAAAAAAGCATTGATCTAAAGGCACCATTTGCAATCTTTTATGAACAAAAGCTAACTTACCTAATTTCCCAGATTTGTGCAATCACGGTCTCCAAAGGCACCACTCTGCACAATGTTCCAATCCGTGCCCTGAAAATTAAATAGGAAAAAGAAAATACTGTTGAAGACAGTGAACATAATAAGAGTCCATTGTCAGTGGCTTTTAAAATATGAATATTAACATGGGAAGAGGGTCATTTTTTTTTTTGCCTCTCTACATTTCTCCTTCTCTTATGCAAGAGCAACTGATTATACCAATCATGACAAACCAATGTTATGCCAATCAAATACTTCACTTTCCTAAAGATATGAGCAGTTTTCTTTACCCAAAATCACATCACTTTCCTAAAGATAGACTCTTTTGTTGAACGATAATCATGCAAAACAAACATAACTTTTGAATCATTGTGTTGCATAGGGACTAACTTACCTCGGTTAAGTTAGTCCCTATGCAACTAGGGGATCAAAAGAGGTAAGAAAAGCGATAAAAACAGTGCTAACCAAGGGATCTAGGAGATTAACAACTTGGAAGATGCTTAAATGGAAATATTGGTCCTATAAAAGTAGAGAATCTTTCAACCTACTGGATGAATGTCCCTCAAACTGTTCAATCCATTCAAGTCTCAGTTCTTCCCCAAGGGAGACTGCTAGAAAAGCATCCCTGTTAAACAGTACAATATTTTCATGAGAAAAAGGAGCTGAAAAGTAAAATCGACGAAATTGTTCTTAGGCATACTTCTACACAACTTTTAAGTCTAGGCTGGCATGGAAGCAAGGTGCAGCTAATACTGCACATCCATTTTGTCTTTGTGTCATAGCAACCTCCACAGCTACATCGCAGGGATAGCTCATGAACATAATTCAATTGCACCTCCCTGTACACCCTTTATTATCTTCAACATAGTACCTGAACAGATATGACAAATACTGATTCTTCTTCTTTTACAGGTTGGAAGAAGGGAGGGGTCAGACATTAATACAACAAAGGAAATGGGGAAACTTGGTAGAATTTTAATATTGTGAGAATGTAATAGACACTCCTATCATCAACGTAAAACACTGGATTATATGAAGCGAAGCTCTGGCCAACGAAAGAGGAAAACTTATATGGAGAGAAGCACCAAATTGACAGAAACTAATGTAGGCTCTTCCTAGCAGCTTACATTCTAACAGTTAAACAATATCGTAGATAGTTGACTGATGCAATAAGGCGAACCAAAAAAGAAGCAAGACAAAAAGATCCTTAGGAAACAGGGAATGTCATATTGTAGGAGATCGATAAATTAAATAATTTCTTTGATCCAAATGCCGAAACTCATTTTTAAGCTATAAAATGCTGCTGGAGTCATCTCGGCATTAAAATAAGTTAAACACCAAGTTTCGATGAGAGCAGGTATCAGACTTTATGGTCAAATAATATTGCAGAAACTTACAGGGGGAATAAAAAGGCAAAGAAGGCCATCCAAAGACGAAGGAGAGACCCGTATAGCTTCTCACTGAAACCCCTTTAAGCTTTGGGTTTATTGATATTTCATATGTAGACTTCAGTTTCCTGAAAATGTTGCTTCGTACCCAAACAAGGTCTGAATGTGGATAATATAATTTCGCAGTTCAATTGAAATTTAATCTGCAAAAGGAAATGCCAAACTTTAGAGCAACCTTTTGTGATGCATTTGCATCCTTGTAGAGCACCAGCTGAAGAGAGTAATTATTTAGAGTGCTGACTCTGAGCAAATCGTTCTCAGAGGTCTTTGGTTTTCAATTACTTGTTCGGTTATTCCTATCTGCCCAGTCTGTATAAATAACTTCAAAAACAAGCTATTTTTCCTATTACAAGGAATAAAAGAAGAACAAGTAGAAGAAAAAAAAGAAGAGGTTTCAAGTGAAAAATCCACATGGAAAATCCAACAGTTTCAAGTGGAAGTGCAAAATACTAAAGGGAAAGCATTCAATTCACTGATAACTTTGCATTTTTCGTGATGTCATATAATTGCAAGTTGAAGGATTGAATTAATATAGAACTTTTTTTTTTCCTGGAATTCTTCAGTACTACAGTAACATGTATTGGTTTGGGGAATGAGAAGTTTTGGAAATTTAGGGAGAGGAGGATGGAGGAGATTTTGAAAAAGAAAAAAGATAGACTCAGAAACTGAAAGAGAAACAGAGACTTGCGGAAAAACTGAAATATGGGAGCCGTAATTTGGCTTGTCAGATTGGTGCAACTTTCTTCTAACTGTGGGCAGTTATGAATTTCCAGGTGCCGTAATTTGGTGAGCCGTTGAATGGAATCTCTAGATGGCAGATGTTGTAGTTTTTCGCAGTTCCTTAAAATTAACTCTTCCAAAGAAACAAGGTTGACGAGCCCATCCAACAGAGCTTCTAACAATGGACAATCACGGATCTCCAAATGCCGTAATTTGGGCATGGCATCTAAGAAGTCCACATGTTTTAGAAGTTTGCACCTCACTAGCGTCAATTTTCCAAGAGAAGTAAGGTTGCCAAGACTATGAGGAAGAACCTCGATTCCAAATTCAACCATTCCAAGCTCTGTTAGGGCAGAAAGTTGCATAAGCTGATAGGGCAGAGAATCCCAGTGCGCACGTCCATACATCCACAATGTACGAAGGGACGATAGCTGCTGAATGCCATTAAAAATCAATTGGAATGCGCCAAAATCCACCAACTCTGAGAAAGGACCTATTGACAATGCCCTTAAACCAGTGAGACAGCAAAGGCCCCCTGTGGGTACACTATTCAGTTTGGGACATTCTGATATAGCTATAGCTGAAAGTGAAGGCATTTCCCACACATGTAAAGGGAAGGAAACTAAGTTGTTACAGTTGTAGACTGCCAAAGACTCCAGAGACGGACAATGCTCTAGCAGACCACTTGGTAAGCTAGTCAATCCATCACAATTGTATAACTGAAAACTTTGGAGGGAAGTCAAATGATTCTGTCCACTGGGAACAGGAATGGAACTGAAATTGGTGCAGTCCTTAATTATCAAGCTCTTAAGAGAACGGAGACTGTACAAACTCTGTGGAAATTCACGAAACTCTCCGCAATTTAAGACCCATAGATGTTGAAGAGAAAAATTGTTGTGTAGCATTTCATGTGGAAGACAAGTGAGCTCTTTCACATTATTGACAAAAAGCTCAATGAGAGAAGTCAAGTTGCTGCACAAGTTCAACAATGGCATTTCATTGTTAACTCCTTCAATCCTTAATTCACGTAAGATTTCAAATTGATTTGGAGTACTTTTTAACAATGGACATTTACTAATACACAACATCTCAAGCTCGGGAAACATTCTTACTCCAACTCCGCCTCTACCACCACTTCCAGTTGGCATCAATTCCACTCCCTTCCACTCAGTGAGGCTAGGCATATCCTCCAATACTAGTTTTCTAAGTAACGGGAACACTTGAATATTAGCGTTATTGCTGCTTGCTCCATTATTGTTAACTTCAACGCCATAAAATGGAGGCCCAATGCATTCCAACGTGTGGAAGCCCACCAGTTCAAGATGCCGAAGGACTTTCAGTTGGCCAAGCGATGGAATTTCTTTGCAATTTCCGCAGCCACTTAATTTCAACATGACCAAATGTGGTAGCAACTCTTCACTGAACCATGAAGGAAATCTAGTCCCCAAATAGTCCATTACTGCTAAGGTTTTCAAGTTAGGATGTGGTTGAAGACCATCCAAAACATCCTCATCATTTATTTGACAGTCTTCTGGTTCATCATGGGACCATAGAAATGCCAGCTTGTAGATATTTGGTTTCTCCTGTAGATATGCTCTTCCAGCTTCTTCTCTATTATGAACCAATTGCAGACCGTTGATTGTCAATTCACCTCTAAGGTTTTTTAAAAAACCTAATTCTTCTATTCGACGACCTTTCTCTAAACCTACCTTGAAAAACTGTAGGGTTTGAAGACAAGTTAATTGACCCATCTTAAGTGGCATATGAAAGAGATAATTATCAATACACCATTCTCCCCAACCTGTAGGATGATGATAATTTGGTTTGTATTTAGATTTGTAATATATATGTCTCAAACTTATCATATTTCCCATCTCGTCTGGAAGCACCTTGAGTGAAAAGCAGTTATTGACTCGAAATGTTTGCATATTGTAGAGCTTGCAAATGGAGTTGGGCAGCGCTTTGATCATAGTGTTGGAGAGATCAAGATATCTCAAGTGTATAAGCTTGCCGATTGAGGTTGATATCTCCTTGATGGCTGACCTGGACAAATTTAAAACTCTCAAGAACTGAAAGCTCAATAGCGTATCTTCAGATATATGATTACTTCTCAAGAACAATGTGCACAGATGTCCTGGCTTATTTATCTTATCTATTTTATCTCTTGGTGAGTTCCATCCAAAGTATTGAACTTGAGAAAGATTTTCTCCACCGTCGCTCTTCTCATCAAATAGTTTAGATTTTAAAATATCTCCAGCCAAATCATGCACAAGATCATGCATCTTACAGTGTGTTATATTGTTGTGCTCATCTAGCTTAACATCTTGCAGCAAGGAATTTTGCAACAAAATTTGAAAAAACTTGTTGCCGACGTCTTCCATCAAGGTGGTCTTTTGGCAAGGACGAAGATATCCTTCTGCCATCCAGAGTTGGATTAGTTGGTCCTTTTCAAATTCAAAATCTTTTGGAAACATTGCAAAGTACGCAAAGCATTTTTTCAGATGTGGAGATGGTAGATAAACATAGCTGAATTCTAGGATTTTCTTTAAATTATTCTCCCCACTATCACCTCCACCTGCAACAAGGGAGTTGCCACCAAGAATTGTCTGCCATTCATGTTTTTCTTTGTTGCGTAAGAGGCCTCCCAACACACTTGCTGCCAATGGTAGACCTTTACACATTTCAACAATCCTGTTGCCCATGCTCACTAATTCCTCTGTAACCTCCCCATCAACAAATGCTCTTTGTTTGAAAATGGACCAACAATGATCATCTGTTAATTTTTTCAACTTATGAGGATCTGCTGCTACTGAGGATGCCACCTGATCCCTACGAGTAGTCACAAGAATGCAGTTTCCTCTGAATGTATTTATTCCTCTCAAAGTGTCCACGAAATCGTGCCACAATGTAGGGGGGTCAACATGCCACAAATCATCCAGGACAAGCAAATACTTCTTCCCTCCCAATTCATCTTGCAGCTTCTTGACTATTATATCCCTACTTTGGACCTCAAGTTTCCTTTCTGTCAATGATTCGAGCATCAATTCAAGAAAGCTCTTAGTTTCTAACATTTCAGGTAGACACAACCAAACTCTCTTTTCAAAATGTTGCTTGATCTCTTCATCATTGAAAATTATCTTAGCGACAGTTGTTTTCCCTGAACCTCCAAGACCCACTATAGGAATGGTGCACATAACAACATCCACTCTCATGTTCAACATCTTCTCCTTTATTTCAGCAACATCCTTGTCTCTACCAACAACATCAGAAGCAACTACCACAGAATCTGTTTCTCGAATTGGTAGTATTTGCCGAGAAGGACCTTTTAAAGGTTGGAGACTAAGGGTATTGGCTAACTGATTGATAGCACTCAACTCTTCGTTGATGTTTTTGATTTTTCGAGACATTTTGCTCTTAAAAGCTGTATGAGAAAAGAGACCACTGACCTTTCTCATTGGGTTGTTTCGGATCTTCACTTCTCTTCTGCGAGATTCATATAAGAACTCGTCAAACACATTTTCAGCATCTTCAGCAACCCTCTCAAGCCTCTTGAGCCATTGTTCCACAGCTTGATCCTCAACTTGTCGTCTTTCAGCATCGTGAATGAAAGCTTGGATCATGGATACATTTTGTGTTAGCATATCGACATCTTTGTTGCAGTTCCTTAAACATTTGACTTCCTCAATAGTGAGAGAAAGCAGCTTCTCAAGAAAAACATGAACAGTAGCACCAATTACAGGATCGGCCATTGTTGCTTTGCTCTTTCACAAAGTTTTCTTCCTCTACACCAAAGTCTTCCCAAAGAACTTGTAAAGTCTTCGTTTGCTATTGTTAGTGGACCACTAAAGTCTAAAAGAAAGACAATAATTTACAGCCAGAGAAGAAAATTAAAATAGTCCCTTATCTGTGGGGCTTGGTGTAGTTTGGTTGTTTATGTATACACCTATAAAAGATCTTTTGTGTTTGGAATGTGTGGACACTAATATCCAGCTCAAGAATAAACCCTAAAACTAACAGAAAAAGGCTTATCTTTTATGGTACTGCAGTAAGAAAACAAAACAAAACAAAACAGTTCTCTTCTCCAGTCACTTGTCTGGGACATACAAACAAAACAACAATGGCATTTTGCCATTTTGGCACAACAGAAATGGACAACAAATAGTATACCATTTTGACATACAAACCCACCTATCTGATTTTCTACTTCTTCATTCCATCATATCAAAATCCACTATTTTCATAACCAAAGATTCATTTCAGTCCAAAAAAGCCAAATTTTAGGGAGGGAGGTACTTTCTTAGGCACCATTTTTTACTGTCCAAAGCTGTCGTCAAAGTCGCCGAAGCTCTATGGACGATTTTCAGAAATCTGAAACCAAAGTTTTTTATTTTGTTTTTGAATCAAACGACACAAATAGGTAAAATAATATTGTGTATCATTATATATATATATATAGTGCGGTTATTCACCATGCTATGACTTAACGGCAAGTTATAGCGCGGTGAATAACCACGCTATATATAAATTGTCTTGCCCCACCAATAATTCTTCTGCACTAAACTGACCACCAATATTATCTTTAATTGGTAATAAATTTAAATTTTATGTTAAGCTGTCATTTTTTTTTTGTTCTAAGCGTTAAACTAATAAATAATCCGAGAAATATAAACACATGCGCAAATTATGTAAAACATAAATAATGTTACTATTATATATTTAATGTCATATATACAAATAATAATAAATGTCAATGTGTCCCATAGTCTGTATGCTTTAAGGCATTGGCTGGCCTGAGGAACACCTCATCTCGCCCGGCTACGCTATCAGGATCATCCTCATCACGTCGCCTCTTTATCGGAGGATGCATTGCAACATGATCGTCAGTAAGGCTAACAGACTCGGTAGAATCGACTGTCGGGCCAATAGTAACCTACAAAATAATAAGATATTTTACTATATGAAATATAAATTAGTAACGTACGTGTTAGCAAAAAAATATTTAATGGCCATACCATGGTCTCAATGGGCTCCTGAATAAGATCATCCGTCTCCGACATGTCAGTATCGCACAATGTGGCCTCCGTCATGGGCGACAACGATGTATTTAAAAGAAAAAAAACGTTTTGGATATTACTAACTAATCAATGAGATAAAAACAAAAAGAAATAATAGCAATACAAACAAACTTGTGCCTCAGTAGCGCCACAACACTATGTCGGAACATCGAGGTGCACTGGAGTAGACGAAGTATGTGATAGATCCTCAACATCCCTCGGTGATAAGCCATAACTCAGTCGTCACCCACTATGCACCTCTCGTGTCGGACGATCATCACCAACCGTCGATGGCTCTGGGGGATCAGGAAAATACAGATCCCACTCCTGTCGCGTAATGGTCGTGCCCGCAATCAACAATGGAGCTGACGGGGTCACCTACAAAGTCCCTGGCGACAACTAAAGGCTGAATGATGGCATGTCATGATGAGCATCGTGTGGCTCAGGGTGGTCACCTGGCTGATCATCTCTAATATCCTCCACGGGTTCCTCAACGCCCGCTTGTTGGGGACCCCGTCCTCGCCGACCACCATGACCTCGTGGGACACCCCTTCCTCTCTAGCCACGCTTGCCACGTTTACCACGTTCAGGCTCCACTGGTGGCCCATGATGGTACTCATTCAGTGGCACATAAGCAGTCTCGTATCCTAAGCGCTAATCATCTAGGGCACATCTCAATGTCTCGACAACAAGATCAGTAACCTGACGGCCAAACACGTGCAAAGTTGTCGCTCCCTCGCCGGTATGTTGCAACATCGCAGTCCCAACTGGTAGAACTGATGTAAGCCAATAGCCTGCCTAACATGTAAAATATTAATTACGGAAGGATAATGTAACATTATAAGTAAGTATAACAAATAACATACCAGTGCCTCATGCCTCTCGGCGTACGGAATGTACCGACCACCAGGGCGATGAACGGGATTCCCGACGACAAGTCGGGTAACGTTGCGATACCAACCCATATACTCATGCTCGCCATCCATACGCTCAGGTGGAGTGGGTGGCGGAATCAAGTCATACCTCTGGTCTCAAACCTCAATCTGGGCCTCTAGCCAGGCCAAGTATGTCTCGTCAACCCTGCAACGATCATCCCGCTGGTAATGTGTCCTAACCCAAGTGGGCAGAATAGGTACAAGGTGCAGTCGACCAAATTGGCGAAGGACTCACTCCGTAGCATGATGCTCGACTATATCGAGACATATCAGTGGGACAGAAGAGCTCCACATAGCTCGGTCGCGGGAGCAATAATCGGTCAAACCAGCTATGAGTGCGCCGTTGTATGGCCTTCATACGAACTATTTATTAAACATAAGAATCGTAAGTAAACGCAACACATATAAAGCCAGGCCAAGTAAACATAAGTATATATGTACATGCGCGCCTTCAAGCAAATCCAACAAATCCCTGTAATAGGGGAGATGATGTCGAGCCTCGACCTTGCATCCGTAGCCTCGTCTATCAACCCACCTCTAAGCTAAAGGGAGAAACGGTAGAGGTGGTGCATCCGGAGCGATCGGTGGTAGATGTGGCTGGAATTGCAGGAACCGCTCCCAGGCCCATATCTAATATCGATTGTGGACGTAAATTTTAAGGTATTTTTTACTATGTATGTTATAATCATGAAAGGAATTGACTATGTTTTCACCTGCAGCAGCGGTAAAAATCCGGCACTGTCTCTCTGGGTGCCCATGCACGCCCGACACATCTGCCTATACATGTAACCTAGAACAGTTGTAACCATGTAAATCATCTAGCCGCTCCAGATGATGTAGAAATCTCAAGCCGACTAGGCTTCCCGAAGTGCTCGGGAACAGTACACCACCAAACATAAGCAGCAACAACAATCTCGTGTGTCGATCGATATCCTCTGGTGTTGAATCATCCGTAATCTCCGCATCCATCGCCGCCAGATGATGCCGGACGGGCGTTAGCTGCAATCGACTGGCCCTACTCAATGCAGTCAGCTCCGCTGGCTGGAAACCGGTGAGCCGCTGCAACATATGCAGGTAATGCACTCCCCTATAGTCTTTAAGAGCAAGCGAGTAACCTACGGGTAATCCATGGACATGCAGCCCGAAAAGAACCTCCACATCCTCAAGCGTGATGGTAGCCTCCTCGGTGGGTAGATGAGACATGTGCGTCTCCGGTCGTCACCGCTCTATCATAGTCGTGATCAACGGTCGGTCGAACTGCAACCGGCCGATCTCTATGATCATGTAGAAACCCGTATCCTGAAGGCGTCTAACTATACGGGGATAAAGTGGGTGGTCCCTAATGAACTCTCGCATATCGTCTATACGTCTGAGGCGGAATGGAATGTTTTGGTTAGACACTGCCCATCCCAGATGTATGAAGACTTATGGTTGCCCTGTAGCAACAGTATCTCTCGAGATGTAGGTCCGGGATGCAGAGGGGGAACCTCAATGACGATGTCTATAAATTGAACAATATTAATTAAAGTATTTTTTTTATTGCTTAACACCTTTAAATACATCGTAATTAATCTTTTATATTAATATCTAATCGGTATTTTTAATATATTATCACTTAGGTTAATACATTTTCTATATTATTATTTTATATGTTAGTTTATTACATTATATGTTTGTTTCTTATTTTATATGTTAGTTTATTATTTTATATTTTTTATTTTATTTTATATGTTTGTTTCTTATTTTATATGTTAGTTTATTATTTTATATGTTTGTTTCTTACTCAGCTATTTTTGGGTATAATAGATTAAATAATTAATATTTATAGTTATACATGATATAATTAATAAGTATTCATATAAAAATACTTAGTTTGACAAATATTATTGTTTTTATGTTATTTTATTACATTTGCTGGCTAAAATTCGAGAGAGTTTGTGTTTGAACTATCATTTTTTTTTTCCAGATATTTTTGGGGTTAATAGATAATTAAATGATTGATTTCAATAACTACAAAGATACTTAAGTTGATAAATTTTCTATATTAATATTTCATATGTTAGTTTCTAACATTTTCCCACTAAAGTAACACTACTCAAAAAGGCCATGAACAAAGTCAACTACCATTAGCTAAAATTTAATATCAATTTTACTATGCTACATGGCACTATATTACAATGTTATTTGGATTTTATTGTTGTACGTATATTAATATGTGACTTTATTGTTGTTTAGTGCCTTTTGTGTTTTCATAAAATAATAATTTATCTATTTTACTAATTTTTAAGCACATAAATAATCTAATCCGAATAAAAAATAATAAATTAATTAAATCAAAAAACAATCACGAAACAACATAGATCACAGTAAAAAAATAACTAACTAACATTTTTTATAACAACTAATAACATTAATTATTCATAAAATAACAATTTATCTATTTTACTAATTTTTTAGCACATAAATAATCTAATCCAGATTAAAAAAAATTAATTAAACCACAAAACAATCACAAAAACATATAGAACACAGTAAAAAATAACTAATAAACATTTTTTATAACAACTAATAATATTAATTATTTATAAAATAATAATTTATCTATTTTTTAGCATATAAATAATCTAATCCGGATAAAAAATAACAAATTAATTAAATCACGAAACAATCACGAAAAAATATAGACCAAAGTAAAAAACAACTAATACGTATTTTTTATACATGAGTTTTACCAAAAAGTAAGGCGAAACACCTCGATTTAAAGTTTTTTGAAAGGTGAAGATTTGATGATTTGGGGGCCGACATGAGCAATCCGCTACACGATAACCACTTAGACCCGGTGTTAGCTTGTTACAATACGGAGAAGATACACTTTTTATGGGACGGGTGGACTCCAATGAGTTTTTGTTGCTACAATACGGAGAAGATCACAAGGATACCAACTAAACCAACTATGTTTCTAACACTTGAGTCCAATTTCATAAGTTTAACAAAAATCCTCATT